AAAAAATAAATTATCAAGATTTTATATAAATGTAATGTTTAAATTTTATAAATAAGTGAATTTATATTGTAACTCTATAATTTAAAGATTAAATACCTTTTTTGATCTCTCTATTATAGGAAAAAACCCCTTTTTAGTTCTTATACTGAAAAACTCCCTTTTTTAGACCTTAAAATTTGAAATTCAGTCTCTTTTTAGTCCCTCTGTTAGGTTTTGGCTAACGTGGTAGGTTAATTAACGGAAAAACTTATTTTTTTCTTTACTTAAGTTATGTGGAAAATCTATCTGGCAAAAATTAATGAAATGACTAAATTTTTGGTTTAATATAACCTTAAAAATCATTTAATTATATAATTGCCATTATAAATATTTTAAAGATTATTTTGTGATGACTTTAATTACTAATTTGCCCCCATCTTCTTCCCCCTTCTATCTTATCCCTCTCCTTCCTCCAACCTTGGAAATCATATCTAGAAAGGGAACCCAAGTGCCGGGTTCACTGGGTTCGTCGCACACCTAGGCGCCTAGGTTCCTCGCATGTTGCCGTGTTGCTAACGTCAAGTTTGTTGCGAACCTAGGCCCTTGGGTTCCTCGCATGTTATTGTGTTGCTATCAATTTTTTTTTTTAGATCTTTGATTACGTGAAATTGTTTGCGAAACTCAGATTTGTGTTGCTGTGTTGCCATCATTTTTTTGTTTAGATCTTTGATTATGTGAAATTGTTGATCTCGTATTTGTTTTTTTTTTTTTTATATTTTGGATGTCTGCATGGGAAAAGATTGAATGATGAACAAGGATGGTTAAGGTTAATTTTGAAATTTTAACTTTTATAAATTACATGTTACGTTTAATATCTATGTGGATGTCACATCATCATTTTTTATTTTTATATTTTTCATGTCATTTATACAAAGAAAATAAATTACATAATTTTGTTAATTAACTTACCATATTAGCCAAAATTTAATAGAGGGACTAAAAAAGAGTCGGATTTCAAACTTTAAGGATTAAAAAATAAATTTTTTCAGTATAAAGACTAAAAATGGACTTTTTCCTCTAATAGAGGGATCAAAAAAGATATTTAACCTAGATTAAATATTTCTATAATTTTAAAATTCAGCCATATCTCTCAATGATGATGTAATGATGCTAAATTCTATTTCTACTTGCATGATTATCTTGCAATTTGTGGGTTTCTTCTCTGCCATTTGCTTTGCTTACTTTGCTATGTAAAATTTTCAATTTGTTGGATTGCTGCAAGATCTAATCATCTAAGAAACTCCAAAGGCTCTTGATAAAGAAAGGTGTTGACTTTAATACAGTGGATTTTAATACAATGGCTAACGTTAGCTCACCATTACTAATTGTAACATTTAAGGGCATGAAGGATTTTGTGGAGGTCATGTTCGATATGAGCATCGATGTAAGGAACAACTGTATATATAATTTATTTTTTCTTTCCTATGTCTTCTATTTTTTTAATGGAGATACTTTAATTTTTTCTCTCATTATGGTGCGATTAAGGATAACAATTTCCCTATCTTACGGTGGGAATCTTTGATCATGGGAACAGGGAAAAGATGGGGTGTATTTTTATTACATCATTGTGGAGTTTTGCGAGAATTCTCATCCTGCTAATTTTTTTTTTATTAAAAAAACACTATTAAACCCAAATATTCAACTCATGATCATTACTCATTTTTTCTAAAAG